TTTTTTTTTTGTGTCTGTGAACGCTCAATCTCAGCTCTCGCTGGACCGATTTTGATGAACAATATGTCAAAAGATCACAAATCGTATCTAGTCGAAGACATTACCCTCAAAAATTGAAAAAAATTCCCTCGTTCCCCGTAAACGGGGGAAATCCCCCAAAAAATTACAAATTTAAAAATCGCTAATTTTCGATATTTTTTCATTTTTTTTTACTTAAAATTGCCATAACTTTTTTAAAAATGACCGAATCAATATAATTTTTTTTATATAGATACCTTAGATAATTACCTATCATTTTATATATTTTTGTGAACATTTAACCCTTTAACACCCCAAAGGATGGGGTTTCAAAATGGTAACTTTTTTACAAAAAATTAATTTTTTCAACTTAACTTTTGAAAATGTTCCGGAAAGACTGACACTTTTATATATATCTTAAATTAAAGCTTATGTAATATACTTTAATTTGAAAAAAAAAAATTTGACCTCTGGACTTGTCTTCATGGTGAAAATGACTACCGTATGCAAAAATATGCTATTTTTGTGAAAAAATTCTTGATATTATATTTTACATTTTTTAACATTATGTTGCTATAACTTTTTAAAAAATGCATGAATCAACTTTATTCTTTAATGATAAATACTTTATATATACTTCTTTCATTCGACATACTTTTTTTTAAAATCGGACCATTTCCCTTTATACAGGGGGGGTGCAAACCTTTTAAAATGCGTATAGAAAGTAGAACTTTTTCAACTTAACTTTTGAAAATGTTCCGGAAAGACTGACACTTTTATATATATCTTAAATTAAAGCTTATGTAATATACTTTAATTTGAAAAAAAAAAATTTGACCTCTGGACTTGTCTTCGTGGTGAAAACGGACATCAAAGTTAAAGAAAAACGTACGATTTCCGTGAAAAAAATCTCGATTTTATATGTTATATTATTTAATTTATATTTTATATAACTTTTGGAAAAATGTATGGATCAATATTATTATTTTTTTATAATAAATATTTATATACCCCTTTCATCTGGCACGCTTTTTTTGTAAATCGGATCATACCCCTTTAACAAGGGGGGTCAAAACTTTAAACATGCGTATTGTTACTAAGATATTTTCAATTTAATTTTTGAAAGTATTCCGGAAATACTGACACTTTTATATATATCTTAAATTAAAGCTTATGTAATATACTTTAATTTGAAAAAAAAAAATTTGACCTCTGGACTTGTCTTCGTGGTGAAAACGGACATCAAAGTTAAAGAAAAACGTACGATTTCCGTGAAAAAAATCTCGATTTTATATGTTATATTATTTAATTTATATTTTATATAACTTTTGGAAAAATGTATGGATCAATATTATTATTTTTTTATAATAAATATTTATATACCCCTTTCATCTGGCACGCTTTTTTTGTAAATCGGATCATACCCCTTTAACAAGGGGGGTCAAAACTTTAAACATGCGTATTGTTACTACGATATTTTCAATTTAATTTTTGAAAGTATTCCGGAAATACTGACACTTTTAAATATATCTTAAATTAAAGCTTATGTAATATACTTTAATGTGAAAAAAAAAAATTTGACCTCTGGATTTGTCTTCATGGTAAAAATGACTACCGTATGCAAAAATATGCTATTTTTGTGTTAAAATTCTGGGTTTTGTATTTTATTTTATTTTAAAATACCTGACAAGGGGAGTACAGATTTTCATAAATATTATATAAATTAAAATTGATATAGTATAGATAGTTAAACTTATTTAAATATGTTTGTTTCTTTTAAGTCGAGAAAAATAACTTTGAAATTTGAACTAGCTTAAATAGCCAATTTTTCAACCGCCGGAAGCAACGTACGGTTGCCGAGTTGGTAAAATTTATGTTTTACACGCTTGGGGTACGAGGTTCCAACCCGCATATGGCAATGAATTTTTTGCATTTTTTCTTAATTCTTTTTAAGTTAGTATAAATTTTAACTCGTTTGATTTTTATCACATTTAGATTCAATAACTTCAATAAAGATCAAGGATCCCATCACTTTAGTCGCCCCTTGCAAGAAGAAATTTCTTATTCGTATTAAAATTATTTTACTATATTTTAAGTTTTCGCTTCGATGCAAAGCCGAGAAGATATTTTTTTGTGACTATCATTTATTTTCTCTGCTCTAACTTGACCTACTTTTTTCAACAATACGTCAAATTACTACAATTCGTATCTAGTTGAAGATATTACTCTCAAAAATTGAAAAAAAAATTCTAATTTATCAATTAAACAGTTAGTTATTACATCGTCTCCATAAAGACAATTAAAATCATTAATTTCTAATGTTTTCAAAATATTTATTAACGAATGAAGTTTGATATGATAGGTTTCAACTACAAAATTAAATCATTTTACTTTGTAATTTAATAATTTTATTACTCTGTTTGTGTGTGCTACTATTAGACTATAATATTCAAATTTTTTTCTAACGTGTTGCTATATAAATCATTTCTAAAAAAAATGATTGTTTTTTCTCCTGAATTAACAATTGATTTTTACAAATATAATCAAATTTTATAATAAACTCAATTGAGTAAATCTTTTTAACAACTTTGTTTTGATTGGTACATTTAGTTAAAGTAAATCATTAAAATTAATTAAGTTCTCAATATTTCAATTATAGAATCTTTTCAACAAACAACAAAAGTTCCTAGGAAATTATTACTATTACTTCTATTTAAGTTATCTATTACCATAAAAATGCAAAAAAATATTGAGCTTTTCTGATAAATTTACAATAAATAGTAATTATAAAACTTTCTGACTGCATATTGATCTTAACGATACAATTTTTTTAATTGTCATAAAATTTTCTATTTAATTATGTCAATGTCAAACTTACCAATTGAGCTAAAAGTTATGGTAAAATAAATTTTTTTTTTTTTTTATAAACATTTACAACAATCAACTTTAAACGATTAACAAAATTGGTTAAATATGTCATTTTCCTTATTTTTAACTTATTAATAATCAAATTAATATTAAATATTATATCAAATCAGTATTAATTTAAAACAATTTTTTTTGTTCTTAATTATTTTTTTTTATATGTAAAAACTATTTTTTAATAATATTAAAACTTAGAAGTTATAGAAAAAGTCTAATTGCACATTTTAAAACATCGCGAAAAGTTGATTTAGAATAGTATATTTTTGTTTCTGATGGAAGTTCCTTGTAGTCCAGTGTATAAAACTTATAACTTTGTTAATTGTTATAACTTTATCAAAAATGACCAAATCAGTATATTTTTTTTTATTTAGATGCATGTCTTTATCTATCATTTGGTTTTTTTTATAAATCTAACCCTTTACCTGCCCACAAGAGGGATTCAAAATATTAACTTTTTTTTTTTTAGTTAAAGTAAATCATTAAAATTAATTCAGTTCTGGATATTTCAATAGTAGAATCTTTTTAAATATCAAAAATTACTTAGAAATGATTACTATGATTTCTATTTAAGTGTTCTATTACGATAAAAATGCAAAAAATAATGAGTTTTTCTGATAAATTTACAATAAATAATAATTATAAAACTTTCTGACTGCATATTAATCTTAAAAATAACATTGTTTTAATTCTCATAAAATTTTCTATTTAATGATTCATTCTAGTCAACGAAGGAGTAATTTTGCAG